CTAATCTGATAATAAGATAAACTAATCCTAATCTGATAACTTACTAACAAGATAAGATAAGAGCAATAGAATAAGATAAGAACAAGCAAGATGATCTAATCTAATCTGGCGGTGGGTCAGGTTCGTGTTGCTGCCGGCGGCGATGGTACGTCTTTCCGAGGAATTCGTCCATAACACATGCCCACTATCAAATCAAACTAGTGGGTCCCACCTGTCAGCGGGGCCCACTGTCAAAATATTTAAGTTTTGAATTTTAAAGTAGCTCTTTCACATAAAATCAGAATCAAAGGGCATTTCCTTCAATGAATATAATTAAGGGGTTTTAGCAGACATAGTGCATACTTATACACCCTGATTAGGGAACCATAATTCTACTCAAGTTCTGTTTTTTTTTTTAATTATGATCAAAACAATATGATACATATTCACACCAACCAGTTTAACAAGCCCAACCACATCAAGACAACAGGACCTGTTGTCTCATAGATACCCCTTTGATCAAAAGGAAAAAAAAACACCCAACAGAATATACTAAACAATAAGCACGAGGGGATACCAAAAAGTATCTCTTTTGGTGCTACGACCAAGAGAGTAAAAGAAAAAGGAAGGACCTAACCACCCAAAAGATCATACTAAACANTAAAAGAAAAAGGAAGGACCTAACCACCCAAAAGATCATACTAAACACGAGGGGAGACCAAAAAGTATCTCTTTTGGTGGTAAGACCAAAAGAATAAAAGAAAAAGGAAGGACTGAAGGACCTTGCCTTACCCGAGCAAAATAGAACTGGTTATATTCCCTTCATTTCTTCCAATCATCAGACAACTAAAGGGAAAAACATGAGATAGTCAAATAGTAGAACTTAAGTCTTGATGAAGAATCTGATATGATCCCAAAACATTTAGTTGAGACAAGAAGGGAGAAGAGATCAGAAGATAACAAAATTTTGAAAGTTTCAAGACAGGTAATGGAGGCATCCTCTTGGAAATTTATATTAGGGTAACATAATATAACATGAAATGACACATAAGCCCTCAAGTACATATAAGGAATATAAAACATCCTTACAACAAATTCTAACCTGGGAGAAACAGAAACAAGGATGATGATTTCTCCAAATACAAAAAATCCCAAAATAGTGGCTGTTCATCCCAAGAAAAGGATCAATATACTTATTTGAGACAAGCTACCACCTCCAAACAGCTTATTCAATCTTATAATCAAGGCTGGTATCCTGGCTCCTTTTGTTTTGGGCAGGTTTATCTGGGTTCTCTCTCAGGCACAACAATCGCCAGCAATCGTACTACAAAACTTGATGAAACCAGGCAAGGGAGAAAGTACTCTGATTAGTTCACTATAACACCATGCAGTCGGTCGATCCTAGACTAGCATGAGAAGAGATAAAAGCACAAAGGAGAAGACCCCTGTTCTGATACCAAGTTGATGATCATAGCAGAGAATAAGAGAGTCTAATAAGAGGAACGAAAAACCGAATTACTAGTGTTGTAACAGGTCAAAAACAGAGAAGAAGAATAATAAGGAGAAAGAAAGAGAGAGGGTTTAAGGAGAAGAACAAATCATGGGAAGCAATGAGCTGTCCCACTGTCTTATAAACTAACTTGAAGGAAAAAGGAAATTACATCAGTGCCCCCAATTAATGAAGGGCGGAAACAACATAATAAAATAAAAATAAAGTTTTGGCCCAAGGTCCAATAAGACATAAAAGCCCATAAGTAAAATAAACATAAACTAAAGATACCTAAGGCCCAACGTGACAAAACTTACTCCATCAACGACCGCCTCCTGCTCTTCCTCAATTTCCTCTACTACATCAGCTTCACTAGTAGGACTTGTGCTATATGCATCAAAACCTCCTTTAATGACAAGGCCTTTTAACTCTTCCTTGAATATACTCTGCAAACTCATCCTTCCTCTCTTAAGCTCCTTGTCCCACTGCAACTTTTCCATCCATGAATCAACCAAGTTTCCTTCTTCTTCATTACTGTCACCATTTCTTGTCACAATCTTTCGCATCCACCACAAGCACCTAGTTTAGATGAATATCAAAATGGGTGAGGGGTAGATTGTAGTGTTGGACATGATGTATACTAGTTGGTCTCAGCTTAGCTAATTCTGTACTTCTTGTATCTCTTCTATTTCTGACATTGATAATGCTTGCTTGATCTGTTACAAGTCTAAGGAATTAATTAACAAAGAAATCCTTCAACATTCCAAAAATAAATAAAATAAAATAAAAACTTATCAAAAGATTAACATCAGTAGATCACTTATGAGGACATGTCCAGTCTCAAAGGTGAAATGTTAATGTAGAATGAGCCTAAGCTGACTGCAGTAACAGGTAAACAGCAAGTCAAACATTAAACGAAACCCCGCAAAATAAAGTCCAATATGATGAACAACCAGTAACATACAGTCCTCGACATAAAACCACATGCAATCAAATGAAAACGCAATATGATACCACAAAATTGTATTATGTCACTAATTTCCACATCCAAATTACCATCCATGATAACAGCTTCCATCTAAGGATATAAAATCCCCAAGATAGTAATATAAAATTTCCAAAAGTTATAATAAAAACCAAAAACCAAGTCAAATTTCAAAACACATATGCTCCTTTTTACCTGAAAATTTCAAGTAATGATCAGAAAAGCGGTATAACTTCATTGTGCACAATTCACTTAAAACACTAGGACTTGCATCAGAAAGTAAAAAGAAAATATATATCCATAGGGTAGTTAAATACCACACTCTCAGAATTATGACGGCACCTTCCACAACAGAAATCAAAAACAGTTGTATAAGTTCCTGTCAAGTGAAAAATAAAATAAAATAAAATAAAAAAGAGAGACAAAAATATCATGAATCTTTAGTATAAAATCTCATATGAAATTAACAACTCATCATCATTATCCATGCCTTATCCCAACTATATGGGGTCGACTACATGAATCCTGTTTCGCCAATCCATTCTATTTAAAGCCATATTAACTGTTAAATTATTAGTGTTTAAATCATTTCTTGCTACTTCTACCCATGTCCTTTTTGGTCTACCCCTAGCTCTTCTATCCCATTCAATGTGTAACAAATAACTTCTCCTAACTGGCAAAGTTAGTGGTCTTCTATGCACATGCCCAAACTATCTTAGTCTACTCTCTCATTTTATCAACAGCTAAGGAGATTTATGATAGTGTCTCAAAGACCCATTCCCTAGCTTTGTATGTAGATACAGCTTTTTTTATAGTAAAAACTTATTAACCAAAAAAGTAGGGTACAAGAGGAGGTGATAAGGTATCACCTGAAAGAAAAGAAACACTATGCAAAAATGATAACCCAGCCTTCAACCAAGCAAGACAACAACCAATAATACCCACCCCCATAAGGCAGGAAAAAACAAACAGTAAATTAGAAAACTCCTCTTCTCACCCAACAACATCAAAACAAGCATACACCACTTCCACGAGTTCCATCCCCAATCTTCAGCTCCTTACTTTCATTTAACTAATATCCACATGCTCTTACTAAAATCATTAGCGTCTATAACTCTCAGAAACTGCTAAGAACCCCTAATGTTAAGGACTAGACTCCACACAGGGATCAGTCAAATCTTTATCCATGAACTCCACATCTTTTTATCACTAACCAACCATTTTATTAAAAATAAAGTATTTATGTACATATACACGTTCACCCTTTTGAGAGATAAAAAGCTTTTATCTCCCAACTCTTTTCTTACAATTGTACCCAGAAAATTTCTCTTCCCACCCCTTTTTTGCTGAAGAATCAGCCATACTATTTGCTGAACCTTATACCCATTGAAGTCTCACTTCCATATCTCTAGTCAACCATCTCAATTTCTTTATTTCATTTCTGTAAAACCATAGAGCTGCCTCTCTATTCTGCAGCAACCCAATCAACAGCCTTCATCCTTCTTCAATAATTAATTTGTTTATATTTATCATCATTGCCCCTTGCACACCTTCCATGACAGCCATAATCTCAGCCCTTAGAGAGGTAGAGAAGATGGGGGTTAATATTGTAATTTCATCTTTCTTTTATTCTTGTATACTATAGTACACTTCTGTATTTTATTTATTCTTGCAAGGGCAAAAGTGTCCATTTACACAATAATATATATTCTTCCTATTTGAGAGTGTAAATCGCTGAACACACCCTACCAATCGAGTCTCTCTCTTGTTCTCTCACTTACACGCCTGGGATTAACATGGTATCAGAGCAGGTTGCACTGTGATTGATTTCCTTCTTGTTTGATCCTTACTGTATGCAGTAATCCTATTTTCCTACTAGGATTTACTGCACACTCTGATTGGTGGAAGACTTAGGGCTGTTTTGATCAACCTAGTTGTTGTCCATTAAGGGTTATACCTGATGGGCTAATCTTGCATCTGCCCATAGTCCCTGAGTGTTACAAGGTGGCTTGGCCCAGGGACCACTTGGTGTAAGTGTTGGGCCCATAGAGTCCATGTGATGGACACAAGGGGTTCACTAGGCTTTCTAGTGAATTCGGCTAGGCCTTGTAACAAAGGCTGGGCCGAACCCTTGTGGCTGATGTGTAGATCAATGCTTGGGTCCCATGCCATACAAGGAAGCCCAACTGGGCAGCAGTTTGGAAGGCTAAGTGAGCACATATACTTATTGCGCCTAAAGCCCATTTCGAACTGGGCTGATTTGATCAGTTAAAGAATGGGGTGGATCTAAGATTAGATTAGCAGATAGGATAAGGTCTTATCCCTATCCACTCAGAGAGTCCAGATCCAAATAAAGATTTGAATCTGGAAACCTTCTGATAAGATCAGGAAGGGCTGATCTAATCTGCAGATAAGATAAGGACTCATCCTTATCACTTAAAGGGGATTTAGATCCAAATAAGATTTGGATCAGCAACTCCTAATAGGATTAGGAGCTGATCCCTTTAAGGTTATAAAAGGAGGAGGGAAAGGCAGCCTTTAAGAAGATCACATTCTCACCTACAGAGAAAAGATTACAGAAGAGAGAAAACAGCTTCCAGTAGAACTGCGCTGATTTCTCCCTGCCGCCTCCTTCCAACCGCCGCCGCCATTGCCAGTGCATCTCCACGACAATAGGAGTGATCAAGAATGGTTCTTGATATCAGTCCTTTGTGAAAGGGCTGATTGGAAGTCGTGCTCACGTGTCGTCCAGCTGATTCTTGCGAAGGATCTGGTTCTTTGGAAGAACACTGTTGATTCTGCTCCATCCTACACTGCGCCATCTTCAGTGGGAGCAGTCTTTGGTTCCTTCCTTGGGCGTGAACACCTCCATTGGGAGATATTGTTTCTCCGTATCAGGTATATCCCTCTCCTRCTTCTRGTYTCAGATCTGGTTCGGTTTATGGTTCAAGATTGATCCTTGAAAATGCAGACTTTCTAAAACAGGGAATGTGATTCCCAGATGAGGGGAGAGGAAATTTTTGAAATTTCACCCAACCTACCTGCAGGGTTCGACCATCCATATGATGGATCTCTCATTCCTTCAGATGATGTTGATGCTAAGGGGATGAAACAATGGAAGATCAATAATGCCCAAATAGTTTCCTGGATATTGAGTTCGATTACAATTGATGTTGTCATCCCTATGAGGGATCTGAAAATTGCTAAGGAGATGTATGATTTTCTAGAGAAGGTCTATCAGCAGTCTAACATGTCCAAACAATATCAGATTGGAATGGACATATAGAGAGGAAGATCCAAGGATATTGTGCTGGATTTGTTAATTTGTGCCAGGAAGATCCAGGGATACTGAGGCGGGGTTACTCAATCTGGTCGTCATCAATTAATCTCCTCATGAAAAGTACTTCTTTCTTTGTGCAGGGGAACAGGGCGGGGATTCTAATGTCAGGCCTCCCGGAAAACTCCTTGACAATCTCCTAGGGATGCAACCTCCTCTCCTACGAGAAAACCTTCCTCCCTTAGACTCCACAGCAAAGGCCTCCTACCACAACCCACATACCTACTCCAGTAGTGACCTCTTAATTGAGGGATCAGTGCACTCAGCACACTCCCATAGTTTTGAAAACTCCAGAATGTCTAAATTCTCCAACCAGATACAGTACCTAGGGTGCATACCCTGATACACTCATCAACAATCTCCTTCACATGCTCCTCATGCACCTGTTGTGATGCCTTCTTAAACCTAATTATAATGAAACTAAATCATCAACACTGTTTTAGGTACGTTCCTCAGATTCATCATTGTCAGCTACTTCTCAAATGTGAACCATTTCGTCAAAAACATCTCTCCTTCACATGCTCCTCATGCACCAGATTTACAAACTAGGTGTAGGCTAACCCCATCAAAGTATTTAACCCCCTTACCTCCATGTCCCCATCTGTAGAATAGGGACTCAAAGCATCTTCGAACTTGTTGTTGTACTCTCTGCTGCTCCTAGATAGTCAATCATACAACTACCAAGCCATTGGTGGGTGATAGCCTGGAAAGTAGGGTTTCTAGGCAATATTGAGTAGGTACGGCCTCTGATAAACAGCGAACTTAGATTTGCTAAAAGTGTTGGTGATGACAATCCATCAACTTATATTTGCTAAGCACAGAAGAATAAGAAAGGCCAAGCAACAGAGGGAATTAGAGCAAAGATGACCAAGGGAAAAGGATCCCTTCATCAGGCTCCTCACCCTTACTTATAGAATCAGGGAGCCAACTACATGCACAGCCCTATGTATTTCAATGTTTTAAAACACAGAGGAGTAACGTTAGGCATTCCACTATTTTTTTTTTGAGAAAATTTAACCAAGATTTATTGAGAATAAAAGGGGGGGGAACAAGAGGAGATATACAAAACAGGGGGGGAACCACTGCAAGTTACAAAGGAGGAAGCTTGTCGCTATACAGATGCTCCAAATACACACCAAATTTAGCTAGGTCATCCGCAGTATGATTGTATTCCCTAGGAATCCAAACTAAGTTAGCATTCAATCCATCCAAAGAATCCCAAGCTTCAGTCAGATAGTGATAAAGTCTCCAAGGACCCCCTTTTTTGTCTCTTAACCATTTTATTGTATTTGCTGAAATCACCTGCAATGATCAAATTCTGAATACCCAAATTCTTAATTATCCTGATTCCGGTGAGAGCAGCCATCACTTCAGCCTTTGTGGAGTCGGCCCAACCGATTGGGCTGCTAAAAGTCCAGCAGATATTGCCCCTTTCATCCCTTACTGTACCACCAATACCTGCAAAGCCCGGATTGCCTAAGGCACAACCGTCAAAATTAAGGGTTATCACACCTTCACTGATGGAAACGGGATGCTTCAAGGGTGTTTGCTGAGGATGAGGCAGAAACAGAAAGGGGTGAATATTTCTGATAATATCATTGACAGAAAGTCCTTTAAAAAGATCTGAATTCACAGACCAAAGGATGCAAAGATAAGTAATATCTGAGATTAACTCCTCCATGGTTCTGCTTTTATTGTCAAAGATACGGGTGTTTCTTTCATCCCAAACGCCCCACATTACTGCATGAGGCACTGATTGCCAAAAGACATTACCCCTTTTGCTAAGCCTTATTCCTTGCCATTTGGGTGAAGGGTCCATATTCGGGTGTCAAAATGAGAGGGGAATATATAAGTATCTTTGAGGGTTTAGATTAAAGCTATTAAATCAGAGATCTCCAAGTCCCTTACGGGTCTTCTGAGGTGGAGGTTTAAAGAATTCTTGGCGGACTGGTTTGAGAGGCAATCAGAAATAGAGGCTTCTTGGACAAGGGTGAGGTTAAACAGCCTAGGGAAAGAGGCATCCAGGGTAGATTCCCCCCACC